GTAAAATTGAACGAGTAGATGATGATGGTTTGTTGTGAATGTGATGGTGATACTTTCTCTATTACCTTTTGTCAACATGAACTTCGAAAGAAAGAATACCATCCCCCGTTCACTAATCCCACATCAGTCAGAGACAACTCCGAGGTCCCCAACCAAACCGACTTCCCCGTTCTGGACTTCTAAGCCCGAAGCAGTTGTGGATTTGGGCCAACTGAAGGTCCCGTAGATAGATAAAAAGTGTTGAAAAAGAGTATTTTTCTAATTTATGGCAAGTACAGGTAAGAGTACATCGTATTTTTTTTAATAAATTTTTATAAGTAAATACAAAAATAAATGCAGTGTTAGTTTTAACACCGGTATTAAATAAATAATTTTAAATGTTTGTTTAAATGTGCCTTTAAGGTGTATAGGTTAATGAAGTTTTAAATATATTTTTATGTATTAATTTATTAAAAATTAACATTAATTTTAATTATTTACAACATATAAATATTTTTTATTAGATAATTAGTAAAATTAATATTAATTTTTAATTTTATTATATATATTAATAATAATAAATACAATAAATACATCTTTAAATACAAAATAAAAAATCTTAGTTTTAATTAATTAGTTAATAAATTTAAAATTAATTTTTAGTTTTTTAGTACAAATTAATGTGTAATTAATAGACGCTCAACACGTGCAAGTTTAAAAAAACAAAAAAAAGACATGTAAAACAAAAGTCGTCGGTCCACTGTCGACATGGGAAGCAGTAAAAAACTGTTTGGTAGGCGTCGTCCCATCCCTGTTCCTTCCTTTCGTTTATCTCTTCTTTCTTTCTCCCAGGTCTTGCAGCTCTGACTTACCTTCGATCGCATGATCTTCTAATCTTCGGCCATGGCATCATCTTCAATCCAATCGGAAGAAGGTATGATCTTATTTTAAACTCTTCTTTTACTCTTCTGTTTCTTTCTTCATCATCGGTTTCCTAATCTATGTCTACATTTCTTAGCTTAGATTCTGTTTGGTTCTCGAGAAAGATCGTTTATGCTAGCTAGTATCTTAGAAATTAAGTTTAATTCGTCACTGTTTGAGTGATTTGTTATTGATTGTGTAGGGGTTGTTGGGAAGGATCTAGAGAATGGACTGGTGAGTCCCAAACAGGCTCAAAACCCTCTCATGGAACCGTCACCGACGCCATCGCCGTCCTCAACGGCAACGGCTCCAGCTCTTGTCCTTTCCAATTCCGGCAAACGGATGGATCAGGCAGGTAAAAAGAAGTATCTGAAGCAAGTAACTGGGCGCCACAACGACACTGGCCTGCACTTGGCAGCACAGCAGGGTGATCTAGCAGCTGTGAAGCTGATTCTTGACGACATCCACACACAGATGATGGGGACTTTGAGTGGGGCAGACTTTGATTCAGAGGTTGCGGAGGTTCAGGCGTCAATTGTGAATGAGGTCAATGAGTTGGGGGCAACAGCCTTGTTCACGGCTGTGGAGAAGGGGCATCTTGATGTTGTCAAGGAGTTGTTGAAGTACTCAAATAAGGAAACTCTTACTAAGAAAAATAGGTCTGGGTTTGATCCCTTGCATATTGCAGCGTTTCATGGACATCACGGTAATTGTGTTATGTTTTTGGTTCTGTGATCTTGTAATAATGTTGTCTTACCGTCTTCTTTGGTTGAATTCATTGCGTTTGTGTGTTCAGTTACATTGATTATGTCACAGAAATTTCCTGTTGTTTTCTCTGTGAACTGTGATCCTACATTTTGATTAGTGGGTTTGGTGTTGCAATCCTCCTAGTAAGCAAAATGATTACCCAATTTTCTCCTTAAATCTTCAGAATAAAAGACTTTCATTGCGGTCAGCATATATCAACTGAAATTTGAATTCTCCATAGTGAATTACTGAATGTCACGGTTATTACTTCATTTTGTGTGGCGAATAGTTATAGTGGTGGAATTCATGATTCTATATGTGTTCTGGCTTATACGAAACCATGTGAGTGCCCTCATGCTGGTGTCTCTTGCAGCTATCGTCCAAGTTCTGCTAGATCATGACCCCAGTTTAAGCCACACATTTGGCCCGTCAAATGCAACCCCTCTTATATCAGCAGCTACCCAAGGACATACAGCAGTAGTCAATGAGCTACTGTCAAAAGATGATAGCTTGTTAGAGAGTTGTAGATCCAATGGGAAAAATGCATTGCACCTAGCTGCTCGACAGGGGCATGTAGATATTGTAAGAGCATTGCTATGCAAAGATCCACAATTGGCAAGGAGGACTGACAAGAAAGGACAGACTGCATTGCATATGGCTGTGAAAGGGCAGAGTTGTGAGGTAGTCAAATTGCTTCTTGACGCAGTTGCTGCAATTGTAATGCTTCCAGACAAGTTTGGTAGCACAGCTTTACATGTAGCTACCAGGAAAAAGAGAGTGGAGGTACAACATTCTCTTCTTCATTCATTCTTTTATTTAAGCATCCATCGTATGCTGATACTATCTGGAAATAGCATATCCTATGAATAGTTAGTATCTTAGCTGTCTTTTAGATTGTCCATGGCACAATTTTAACCATAGTTGTGCAGTAAATGAAGGTTTATCTTCATTTTTCTGAATATGTTAGAATTTAGAAATGCAACCCTTAGTAACTCATAGACTAGTGCGGAAATGGTTCAAGATGAATGGATTGTTCAGCTTGCAAAAACTATGTACCAACAGGAATCAGAACAACTATGATAGTAAACCTTCATTTACTAAAAAACAGTTTCTAAATTTTCTCAATTCTTAGTCTTCCCATTTTCCTTGCAGATAGTGAATGAGTTGTTGTCCCTTCCTGACACCAATGTTAATGCACTAAATAGAGATCACAAAACAGCTCTTGACATAGCTGAAGAGCTGCCTGAATCTGCAGACTCCTCTAATTTAAAGGAATGCCTTCATCACTATGGTGCTGTCAGAGCTAATGACCTGAACCAACCAAGGGATGAGTTGAGGAACACGGTGACACAAATTAAGAATGATGTTCATACCCAGCTTGAACAAACAAAAAGAACCAACAAGAATGTCCATAATATCTCGAAGGAGCTCAGAAAACTTCATCGGGAGGGAATTAACAATGCCACTAATTCAGTGACAGTGGTGGCTGTTCTATTTGCAACTGTTGCTTTTGCAGCTATTTTTACAGTGCCTGGTGGGGATAATAATGATGATGGGTCGGCAGTAGTTGTGAGTTCTGCTTCATTCAGAATATTTTTCATCTTCAATGCCATTGCACTCTTTACATCTTTGGCAGTTGTGGTTGTACAAATCACATTGGTTAGGGGTGAGACAAAAGCAGAGAGACGAGTGGTAAAAGTGATTAACAAGTTGATGTGGCTGGCTTCTGTGTGTACTTCAGTGGCATTTATGGCCTCATCATATATAGTGGTTGGGCGGCATCATGTATGGGCTGCAATTTTGGTTACAGTTGTGGGTGGTGTTATCATGGCTGGAGTTCTTGGCACCATGACTTACTATGTGGTGAGGTCCAAGAGGATTCAGTCAATGAGGAAGAAAGGGAAGCCAAGGAGGAGCGGTTCCAACTCATGGGGTCATTCTGAATTCTCTAACTCAGAAGTTGAAGTTGAGACAATGTATGCCCTTTGATGTGGGAATCTGTGGCTTTTGGAAATATTTAGGAATGTAGAGATTATAAATGGTTCTGTTTATGCCAAACATGGGGATATAATTAAGAACAGTGCCTTTTGACTCTGGACATTGGCAAATTTGAATTGCTAACTCAAAGAATGCATATGGTGAAAGGAGTACGAAGGGAGGCTGCTTGTTTACTTACTTGGTGAACGCTGTTCTTCGTTGGCCAAAGGCATGAGATTGTACTTCTAGAGTTTTGATTCAGAGAGACATTTACCTTATTCAGGCAGCCTGATATCATGAAGCTAGAATAAAACAATAAAACAATATTGCTGGACCTTCTAATGTTTACAGAACAACTTTTATTATGCTTTGGAGATTATGCTCAGCCAGCCTCTTGCATCACCGCCCTGGATCCTGGTCGATATACTCCAAGTTTCTGACCATTCAGCTGCTTCACACCTTTATATAGGCAGTATCTACTCTCATTATTAAGCTTAGCCTTGAAATGTTTGAACAATCTTGTTGCTGTCACTGAATAGTATATGCCCTCCATGGTTGGCTGTTGTACTTCAATTGTGACTCTCTGAACTCATTTACATATAGCATTATTGGCATTATTGCCTCTATGGAATCCCATTTCCTATGGTTATGAATTTGAATTTGTTTTGTGTAGAGAATTTTCATTTTTCCTTCTCCCTAATATATGTATGGCCGTGTTGTTGTAACCTGCTCTAGTTTGAATGTCTTGGTTCCTGTCGACAGAGTGTACTCGTGGAATTAGTCTGTAAAATTATATTATACTCATTTCATAAATTTAAAACAATATTTGGAATAACAATAACTTTATAATTCAGTTAGTTAATATATTTAATATTTTAATAGATATCAAGGTTTAAATTACAATAATATTGCATTTGGGCTTAATGACTCGATGGCTTTAAACATTTTTTAAAGTGCATCCTTAGCCCTTAGGCTGGGATCGAACCCTCACCCCCCTCGTTTGTACCCGGTTCAAAAAAAAAAATTACAATAATATCGTATGAATCTCTCTTATTTCTACGTCAAATTGTATGAGTACTTGGGCCTTTGGCCTAGAGGCTTCATGCCATGTCATCCGAAAAGTGTATTCTTCTTTTTTCTTAGGTAACTGTTTGAATTCAATTTTTAACAAATTTGTTTTTTAAAAAATTGTAACCCTTAG